CTGGCTCCATCTCCTGTTTTCATGTTTCCTCGTGAAGGGGAAAGCAGATTCAAAAGCAGATGGGATGGCAGATATATCAGTGCTTCATCTATTGCTGCCTCCAAGGGAGCAGCCTGCTGGTTCAGGTTGGTGAGCAGTGTGTGTGGCAGCACTGGAGGCTGGAGAAAAGCCCCCAGAAGCTGATAGAAATCTGCATGAAACTTTGCTATGTAGTTTGGACATGGATACATAAAAAAAGAGAGAAATCAAATGAACCGTGAGCTAAGTTTAACACTCTAAATAGAGTAAGGGCCTATATCTTTGGTCTGCCATTGATTAGCTTATATTCTTCATTTTTCTGATATACTTTTTCATTCCTTCACTGTTTCACCTTTTATTCAATTTCTGGTATTATTGACAGAAACATCAGAGTGAACCCTGGTGCCTGTACTTTGTTCTTAGCAGTTAGAAAGACAACGGATTAGCTAAATTTGTCTTAATTGCTTATCTACAGTCCAATGTACTTTCTCTTTAGAAACAGCGTATGTTTGCATTTGCAATATTAGATGTGTTCAAATATTGGACAATGTAAAGAGCACTTAAGATGCAGCTGGTCACCAGAAATTACTTCTAACCTAGTCACGCTTGTTGAAACCATACAAGGGAAAACGAGAGTTGGAAGAACTGCTTGTGACAATAGTCCCGTCAATTGCTGCATCATATTTTCCTTAAACATGATACTCGCAGCAGGTGCGTGCTGAGTTACCCTTGCTGCCCCGTGACATCCTGGAAGAGACGAACATTTCATGTTTCACACTTAATGGCTTCATGTAAATCACATGATGTCACTACCAGTTTTCTAGTCTGTTAGACTGTCTCAAATGCCATTAAATCCCTTGTGCCACATAGTGAGCTCTCTACATCATTTACCAACCTAGCATGCTCACACAGGGAGCGTAAAAGTATCTCCTTTATGCCCCCTCAATATTTTCTTCTGCAGCAGCAAGACACATTTATGTAGCTCCTTAATTTATTGTTCTTAAATTACATCTTTGTCAGGGCAATTCTGCGGTGTGTGGAAGGCCCTTGACTAAGTGCACGGATTTATATTGTTAACAGTTTGACCAGAGAGTGATTCACATGAAACAACCTTTAATATTTGAGATTCTGCTGCTGTGGATATTATTTGGAGAGCAATTCAAGTAAGTTACTCCGGGAGCACTGGAGCTCGGGAAGGCTCTTTTCTGATGGGTTTGCACTGAGTGTTCCCGGTGGCTGCTGTAGCACCAACCCTGTTAGAGAAAGAAATACAGAATAACGCTTTCAGAAGAGTACTGTTGTAATCATGTAAAATAACATCTGGAGACTGTGGGATGGGCACAGATAGATGGGAGATTATGTCATGCAACACTTTCAACCAGTGGCAGCCTTGGGAATAGAATTTGCACCCGCCAGCTCTTTGCAGAATCATGAGAGGTTCTCTGCTTTGGGGCCAGTGGGAGGCTTGAGCATGCAGCTCCTGTGTTCCAAGTAGGAAATCCCAGAGATGTACTTGGCCATGGGTGCTATGAGGCAATTGTAAAAACAGCTCTAAAGCATGTATGCTGAGCCTGACAGAAGGCAGTATGTTTGGTCAATTTCCCCTTTTTTTCATGTGGACACAATTTGTGGTTGGAAAAAGACTACAGTTGGAAAAAAAAAAAACAACACAGCAAAAAATGCACCAAAAAAACTGAGCTGTGAAAGTCTTATTTATGCAGCTAAGCCTGCTATCTCATGGTGCAGAAGTATCAGTACAGACTCATGGTTTAGAGATATGAGGCTCTTGAACTCTAACCAGGAACTGAATTTTGTTTCGTTGTCATTGAAACCAAGATGCTAAAATAGTTAGCATCACCTTTACAAGGAGTGAAAGGGTTAGTCAGAGAAGTTTTTTCGTAGCACTTAAAAAGCTAAAGCATTTATACATAGTATAAATCTACATATAGAATTAAGTTAAATAATAAACCCAAATACTCTTGAAGATGTGTGTTAGATTTTATAACAACCTCATAACTACAATGGCAGTATCTTAGGAGTCCCACAGATCTTACTCTAATAAAACATTCCTTATATGTATTTTTTTCTTTTTTTGATGCCTTGGATGGGCAATGTTTCCAAACAAAATTAGGGTTAGTAAATCAGTTGAAAAAAAAGATTTCTTACAATGGAGATTCAAGAGCTGGTCCTCTATGTTAAACTACAATTCAGAAAAGATTAAAATAATTCATTTTTACTTCATCTTTCATAGAAAGCTGGATAGTAAAAAATCCTGGAAGCTTCTGTTGTATTTATTGGATTACTTTGAGTTGTGCTTCTGACAGGCACCACGCTGTTGTTTGTTTATGACAGTTACTAGGAAACCTATGGACTCCGTGCTATGCTTTTCAGGCATAACAGTCAGCTAAGTGTTGGGTTTACTTCAGAGTCAGTCCTCATGTAATCTGCTAGGTTACAGACTAAATATCATCTAGAAGATCTGTGTCTTGTTTGCAGGTAAATAAGCATCATTCAACAGTAAGATGAATTTAAAATTAAAATTTAATTTAAAACTTAAAAATATTAAGTTTCTCTGATTACTTTTGTCAGTTATGTAACAGACCTGGTCTGTTTTGTATTTTAAACAAAGCAGCAGCTCTTGGGAAATGTGAAATGTGAGCACAAAATAAACCTCATGAAGTTCCAATTGCTGCAATATGAAAATTTAGGTCTTCTGGATCTGGAGAACAGAAATAATAACAGAATTTGATGTTTGCTTACAACAAATTTAAGTTAAAGCTGAAATTAAAGATGATATTTCAAAACTTATAACTGATGGAACAACCTTTTCAAACATTGTCAAACTTGTTGTCCAATTCATGAAATAAGTGTGGACCAGTAGTTCTTAGGTCTGCCAAGGAAACCAAGAATATAATCATCCTTTGGCTCTGAAGAGAGCGAAAAGTTAAAATATTTCTGTGCACTATTGCAAAGACCATAGCTATGTGCACAGGTAGAATGTATGCACAGTTTCTATGCACATTTCACAATATGAAATTTGCATAGGAAATTATACTTGCATGTGTCTGTTTTATTGTATCTACTATTAGCTGCTCACCTGGACAACTGAATCTCCAATTTTCCCAACTGAAGCTGATAGCCAGAGCGACAAATGCAATTTGAACTACATAGTTTGAATTATATAGTGACCACTAAACATCAGTCTGATTCAACAAGTTTCTGCTACCAGAGTTTGTGTTGTAGCTTGATAACCATTAGTGGCTTGAGCTTGATGAGGTATGTTGGTTCAGTTTGATAGTCAACCTAAGTTTTTGACTCCAGAAACAAATTGTGTGTGGTCCTCATGATTTCTTTTCAGCGCTGCAAGTAGTAGTGATGCTAGAACAGTAGCTACCTGCTTGTCCCCCTTTGCATCTGGTCTATGCAGTAACTTCAATAGCTGTTAAAAGGAAAGGCATATTTAACCATAAAAGTTTTATTTGTTTCAGTCAACTGTAAAAGCAAGTGCTAATATTTATAAAATTATTTTTTGGACAAATGGCCCCTTAGGCCATTGACTGTGCTATTCTCAAGAAGGTGCATTAAAGTAGCCTGTATATGTATCTCATGAGGAGTAATCTGATACTTGGAGCATATGCCAAATACATTTTTCAGCTCAAAGGTGGGGAAATTCAGAGAACTGTGAACAGAGATCTTATGTGGGTTAGAGTCCAATGTGGCTTGGCTTTATGAAGTCATAGAAAGTATTACAGAATAACCTTTGCACCTGTGTTTGTTCAATAGTATTGCTTAGTCATGAAGAATGATATCATTTTTTCCCTGTTGCTAGATATGGCTTTCCTGTGCATGGATATCTCAATTTGAGGTCAATGTGGAGGTTAACTAATTGGAGTCAGGACTCCTGCAGTGTGCAGGGTACAGCCCTCACCCATTTCCCTACCTTGTGATAGAGTAAGTGGTCCCCACCTAGCCTGCAAAACCAAATTGCCTTCAAAAAGACTGGGTAAATCTGAAGCAAATCAATGAATCTATTTTAGTAACCTAGTAAGGTTTTAGTCAGCACTTTTGCATTTCACCTTCTGGTGATGTGTTTTTGCTTGATGTAGCTGTGTGGTTACAGACTCTTGTGAAGCATGAACCAGGAAAGGAATACTAAGCATTAGTCCTTTTCTACTTGGAGAAACTGCTCAAACCTCTGGAAGAGCCACCCTGAAAACTCTGTTCCTAAGAGTATTAAAGAGAACATTTTCTTGAGAATATGGGACAACTGATGCATAAAAAAGTTGAGGGCTTTAATGCAATTTTATTTTAAAATCTAATCAGTTATTTATCCAAAAGTGAATTGGTTACATTCCTGTTTCTGTGAAATAAATCAAGCGTCTTCAAGATATATGTCTCTGAGTTACCAAGGAGCACTGAACTAATATTAGAAATGAAAAGTTCAAAATATAGTATAAATATTTTACTCTAATTTACTTTCATGTTTTCAGACCTCTGACATCATCCTGTTGCCTATTTTTGCCATGTATTAAAGAAGGGAAGCCTAATCATCAATTTTGCTTATTTTATAAAGGAAAGCAAAGCAAAAATGTAACACAGCCTTGGGAAATATAATCCTCTTTTATTGAGTAGTCTTAGTTATTGTTAGAAGAGGAAACTCTTTTTGTTTGCCTTCTGGGGCATTTTTAATCTTTTTATTCAAACTTGTAGGTATAAAAATGACAGAAGCAACCAAGATGCAGTTTAAAATGAGCTGAAAAAATAATAGTCCAAAGGATGTTTAGGACTTTTAAGCTTATCGACAAGGTGCAATATTGAAGTATGGAGACATGACCTTCACAGAAGTCATAGAGGGTTTTTTTTTGTGTAGTAAGAGGTGTAAACAGGAATATAGGAATAAAAGGAAAAGCATTTTTTCTTTCATGTGTGCTTGGTTGAATTGTTGGTAAACACTATAATTTTCCAACTTTCTTCTTCTTTAGCCATATAATCAATGAGCTGATAGAAACAGAACGAGTTTATGTAGAAGAACTTCAAAGTATAATAGAGGTAAGAAACTCTTCTGTAGTGACTTCTGGTGCTTAACCTCTAAGTCATCAGTGCGGGTGCACATCCTTCATGGGCTGAGCACTCTCATCTCCCACCTCAGTGTCTGGTGTACACAGGCTCTGTTAGCACAATAGCTCAGCCTTGGAGGTGGAAAATGGGAAGGATGTTTTGAACATCTTTCCTCAAGGCTTAAAGCAAGAGGAACCTTTTCTGACTCCAACCCACAGAATGATAAAAGTTGCATCGTTCTCAAAATTATGGACAGAGGAATAGTTAACAATATGCCTTTTCAAAATATCATCAATAGGCTTCAGATACAGCACCCTTGATTTTCATGGGGCCAGACATTAAATTTCTGTGAATGTAGGTTTGGAAAATGATTGAGAAAAAAGAAGGCCCTCTTCGCTCTCCTGTTCATTGTCCCATGTAGTGTCTGAACACAGAAAAGAGCCCCTTACACTGCAAATATAACTCTTGAGCTTTTGAAACTCATAGGATGCCAGCATACTCTGTGTGTCTGAGGTCTTTAGTCTGTGGGAGGATGGAGGCTGAGTAGGGCTCAATTTTGCTTGTATTTGGGTGGGACTTGAAGGACTGGGTAGTTTCTTTTTACAACCATGTGGTTGCTGCTTTATTGGATTTGATCTGTGGGAGCTGACAGCTCTGATAATTGATATATTACTCTTGAGTTCAAAATCTACACTCAGAATGTTCTTCTCTCAAAGTCTTTTTTCAAGAAACACAATCCAGTTTCTACAAGAAACAACCAAATAATCTAGCCAAATACCACTGTTCAGCAATAAATCCGAACTAACCCTTTTACAGTGAAGCAGTGTAGCAGAAATATACCTGTCTATCAAACTTAGCAGTACATGACCAAAATGGCTTTTGAATCCTAGGGACATCAGTTCATCTTTATTGTTAATTCAGTAATCTGTCTATTTGTGGTTAAAAATGTGTTTGCACAGCTATCAGGGGTAAAAGCTCTGGCGAGAATTAGAAGCATCAGAAATTCATGGGAGCAATAAAGAAGCTGGCATAGGAGAAGCCTTTGTATGCTCTGTTGAGAACGAAAAACACATAGGCTTTGGGGCTTTTCGGTGTCTCAGACACAGTACTTCTTCCCTGGTAAAAACAGTCTGGTTTCATTTTCCACCTTTCTCTGCAGGGGTATGCTTCAGAAATGGACAATCCCAACTTAGTACATCTGATTCCATCTGCACTCCAGAACAAGAAGGAAATTCTTTTTGGGAACCTCCCAGAAATCTACGAATTCCACAACAGGCACGTGGGAACTGGTGGTTGTCCTGCACTCTCGGGTGCTACTGTCATTTCTACTCTTTTATGTGGGGTGCTTTGTCGTATTCACACAGGCAGGAAAAGTCATCCTCACTTTGCCTCTCTGTGTGTCTTGTAAAGCCCATGTGTGGAGAAAGCATCTGAGATATTATATTATATTATATTATATTATATTATATTATATTAGCCCTTTTGTGCATTTACTAGTGATTTCTCCTGGAACTATCCATTTTGAATGCCCTTTGTAATCAGTATTTTACAACGTCCCTTGGTACCGTGGTAGAAGTTGCAGGACTAAATCCTGATGTTCTTTATCTGGCAAAACTCCTCTGTAAGGAAGTTTTCTTAGTGTTCAGCTTATTTGTCCTATATTTCTATTATCACATCAGAAGACATGATATATTTGATACCACTTTTCTTAAGGAATTTTATCCTTCATGAGATCATAAATCTTTCCATAAATCTTTCCACAGTGTGGACAAGGTGATCTAGTGCCCATAACTACAGAATACCAATTATGAAGAACATTAACCTCTTTTCAATCCTCTTCCAAACACAAAGCTTAGGGCTACTTCTGTAAATTTCCTGCTTTTCTTGGCCTTGATTAAGTAAAACTGGCTGTAGCCAAAGTGAGAATTTAGGAATTCTTTTGGATAATAATTGCCCTTAAGATGAACAAACAGCTGAACAAAATAAATAAAAAAATCCCTCTTTTGCAAGTTTAAATATTATGCCAGAGTGGTTGATACATAGCAGAAAAATACTTTTCCAGTTTACTTATTATTTCAAACGAATGTGTCTTCCATTTTGAGAATGACTTTCCCTCCCTTTGCAAGCCTGGTCTTT